GTCCACATAAAACAAACAAACAAAAATTAGAGCATGGGGTGCTGGTCCATTGGTTATACTCATTTTTAATGTGCAGTTTTTCCAGCTGATTCAATGCTTTCAATAAGTTTCTGCTTCTGTTTCATGCTCACTTTATTTTTAGTTCTTTATGCTGATTTTAAGGGCAATATAATAACATAGCTTTTAAAAAATTAATCATAAAGAAAGTAAACCATTTGTTTTATGTAAAGGGATCGTGCTTGATAGCTGCATAATATTTGTAACAGGCACTGATACTGCTTTTCCACTTTTATTTTTATGAACTCAATAGCAAAGGAATGAATTAGAAAGTAAATTTACCTCCAAAATGATTTAAAAGATAAAGAAAACTCTGAATAAGGTATATGTTTAAGTTGAATTGCTAGGCAGCCCAGTGTAGTGACTAAAGAGTTAGCCTTAAAGAGAGCAAGGTATTCACCTCTTAGCTCTCTAGGCAAGGCTCTAAGACTGCAAGGTGCAGACAAGATGGCAGACTAGCATTAGCAGGAGTATCCTCTTCCCCATACCAGTGGAATCTCAGGTCCAATCTCTACTCCTTAAACTTAATTAACTTTCATGTATCTGTACTTTATGATTCTTACAAAGAATTCTCTCTAATTTCTCTTTAAATTCAAAGCATTATAGATCAATGGTACTATTGCTTCCTCCAAACCTTAGATTAGCATTTGCCTTTTTCCAAGGGAACTTGTGACAGGTCTATAGAACTTTGGGGAAGGAAATCCTAACTCTAAAAACAAAATCTGAAAACAAAAATCCAAAGGTGTGTGTATGTGTATACACACATAAAATTAAAAAAAAATCCAAAACAATATACATATATGTGTATACATATACGTATTTATATGTGTATGTATGTATAAAGGATAGAGGTAGCAGCTTGGTGGCTGATGCTGTGGAAATGGTACCCAGTGGGTAGACACCAGAAAGTGGGGTATGTCCATATGGAGGAATACCTCCCACAGTCTAGGATAGATCAAAGCTTTGGCCACCCTACTCCCCAGGAAGTGGTTTTATAAATAACCTGTAGGATAGTTCCCTTCTTGCTGACTACATTCTCATGTTGACCAGTGTTGCCTGCTTGCTCCTGGCTTATTCTCTAGTGAACTGCATGGAACATTGACAGTATAGGTATTATTCATCCTGGGGTACTCTCCCATCAACTGATTTTTTTTTCCATATATACATATGCTATACAATATGCATATATATATATACACATACATATATGTGTATGCACATTATAAATGTACAGTTTATCTAATGGGTTGGCCCCTTTTCTCTAATGTACATGGTCTTTAATGCCCAATCTAGGACCAAAGGTGTTCTAGGCAAGGTTCCCTGGATGGGGATGCAATCCTTTATGGAACTCCATGGGTTTATTTCTAGCAAAAGGCCAAGTAAATCAGTTCATTTAGAAACTTTGGAAATAGAACTCATGAATGCCCATGAGTCTGGTGCTGATACAGTGCCTGGCTCAAAGTTGGAGCTTAATAAATGTTTATTGATTGATTCATTTGTACCTGACATCAACATCTGACACACTGAGCCTCAGAAGGTTTCCTGGAATGTCTGAGTTTCACTGTAACAACCAGAGATGTTTATTGAGCTTCCCTACCCCAGGTCCTCCCATATAGATACTGCTACTGATTCACCATCACTAAGGGATACAAATCAAGCTGCAGAAAGAATACTGGATATATAATGAGAAGACTTGGGATTAAATTCCATCTGTTTTACTTAATCAGTTGTGTTGTGTAACCTTAGGTAAGTCACTTCATCTTTGTTGGCCTCAGTTTCCTCACCTGTAAAATCAAGGGGCTGGGCTTGATGATCTCTAGTATCCTTGTTAGCTCTAAATCAATGGTCATGCTTTTCCCATAGTGGTCCATCCCTCTTCTTGGGCTCTATCACTGTTCTAATACCCAGTGGTATTAGGGCCCAGCAAGATCTGAAAGCCTGGGGTATACTCAGTCACCACAAAATAGAGGGACGGAAACTGGCCCACCCGTCAAGTCCAACTCAGGATCATGCCTTAGACTCTCTGGGTAGTCCTATATCACGTGAGCTAATGAATGACAAATACTGTTTAAAAAAATCAGATAAAAGAGGCATTTCTGGAGCAGCACAAAATCATTTTTATCTTAACTGGTGAATAATCTTTTCTAAGTAATAGATTTCTTGCTAAAGTAGGACATTTTTCATCTTGCTATTTGGGATCTCCATTACTAGCATGATTAGTATTCATAGAAATGTATATGTTAAATCCTTTTGCACATTTCCTGACTAGACCAAAATCCAAAATGCTACCAGCCACAACAGGTTCAGGTAACTTTCCACTTAATTAGAATTACAGTGTAGGTGTCATAAGAGGTGTGTCTGAGGTTTGCTATTACATGATAAGATTTGTTTTCAGTCTGAAATCTCAATAACAGTTCCCAAGAGACAATTCTTTTTAACTTGTAAAGTGAACTTTAAGGCAGGTCACTGACTTTCATTTTTGCATGGTCTTAAGATAAAATAAGCAATTTATATATGAAAATTATAGAATCAGAAGAAAGCTCTTAGCAGGCAGGGACCATTTGTTTTGTTTTGTCTCCCTAACACAATATTTGCCCATAGTAGGCACTTGACCAATGCTGGTCATATTGAATTAAGCTGAATATAAATGGACCTTGCAATACACAATTCCTTATGCCTATCCAATGTGGCCCTTGGGAATCAGTGTGGTGTAATGAAGAGTGCTAAGTCTGGATTTAGACAACCTGAGTTCAAATCCTAACTCTGCTACTCAATAACTGTGTGGCCCTGGGAAAGTCACTTCACCCCATGTGTCTCAGTTTCTTTATCTGTAAAATCAAAGGGTGACACTGGATAACCTCAAAGATCCCTTCCAACTCCATATGCATGCTTTTTTAAATCTCAGGGCCATTGTGTAGAGCAAGTGTTCTTAACCTGGGGTCTATCCCCCCCCACCCCAGGATCTTTTGTTAGGGGATCTTTGAACTTGGTTGAGAAAAAAAATCCCATATTTATATCATTATAATTAGTATCCTTTGTAATGTCTAGCACATAGTAAGTGCTTAATTAATGCTTGTTGACTTAACTAATCTGTATTTTATTATATCAATTAAATATTTTAAAACATTCTGAGAATGGGCTTCACCAGATTGCCCAAGAGGACCATGACATAGAAAGACCAAGAACCTCTGAGTTCCAGTAAATTGTTTCTTGACAAAAACTAACACTCTAGTAAGCACTGTTAAAGAACTTTGGATCACAAATATTTAGAGCTGGAAGGGACCTTAGAAATTAACTAGTCTAACTCTCTTATTTAACAGATGAGGAAGTAGGTGTAAAGACTTTATGTGACTTACCCCAAATCACATGGGAGTTAAATGGCTGGGTTTGAATTTGAACTCAGACCTTCTGACTTCAAGTTCAATAATCTTTCCATGCACCTTCCAGTTTAGGAATTTTGTCTCTGTGTACCCTAACTTTCATTTCTATGCTTTCAGTCAGGGGTAACCAAATAGGACTGTGTTGTCCTCTTTAGTGCTCCTTGATGTCTTCCTTCTGTACCTTGTGAAACCACAGCTACAAACACTCTTTTGCAGTAGAGATATGGAGGAGACAAGAGACTCATCCATTTGCCAATGGGTGGTGCTAGTCCTGGAGTCAAGAGGACCTGAGTTCAAATCCAGCCTCAGACACTTCCTAGCTGTATGACCCTGGGCAAGTCACTTAACCCTGTTTGACTCAGTTTCCTCATTTGTAAAATGAGCTGAAGAAGGAAATGGCAAACCACTCCAGTATCTTTGCCAAGAAAACCCCAAATGGGAACACAAAGAGTTGGACACAACTGAAAGGACTGAACAATAACAAAAGCTCGAGGGCAACCTCCTCCTTGTAATGAAGCGGCCTCAGGAAGGTCTTGGTTAGGTAATTTCAGTAAGTATCTGAAGCCAGATTTAAACTCAGAAAGATGAATTTTCCTGACTCTAGGTACCCACTGCACCACCTAGCTGTTCCAGACTTGTATCATGGTTTAAATTACACATACGTTCAATGCAATTACCTGAATGCTGATTGTTTTATTTTGTGTTGTTGTTTTTTCTACAATTTTATTTTATGCTGTTTGGACGGTGAACAATATCTACTATGCTTCCAAAAATGTCTAGTTTGGGAGGGACTACTTAGGATTGTGTTTTTCACTCTACCATATTCAGTCTAAGAAAAATGATAGCCAAATAAAACAAGAATGAAATAAAAACTATGATTATACACTATTTAGAAGAAAAAGAAAAACTTGATGTTTTCAAGTCCTGAACAGCTTCAAATGGCATGAAAACATCCTTCTAATTGTCAAGCATTCATCTGGCAGAAACTGACCATGTGTGCACTACAACAAATCCATTGCTTTCACAGAATACCCAAAAAAGGGAGATAATGTCTCTCTAGGCTTTACAATGACCTAGAGAATGAGTATTGCCTCAGCTCCTAGGTCATTCATTGAGAGCAGCTGTTTGGAAAACTCAGCAGCTGCAAGTACTTAAACCCAGCTTTTCTGTATGGACTGGGCTGGCTATTGGGGCAGTCAGTTTGTCCTGTGATGGGGCAGGAATTTGGTGTGCCTTTGTGACCAGTTGGAGCATAGAACCTTCTGTGATGACAACAGCTGCTCCAGGGACCCTAAAAGGACCCCAGACTTTCCTTCATGGAGATACAAACCCAGCCCTGGGGCTTGGGACACAGCCTCCCAAGCCTGGTTTGCACCTGCCCCGGGCAGCCTGTATTCACGTATTTACTGGCTTGCAAGCAGACTTGTTAATTATTCAGTCAGCGTTCATGCAACTAATAGTCATTATGGAGAGCACAGTAAGTTTTAAACTTTAAGTTCCCAATTATTTCATACAAACATGACTTTCTTAAAATCGGAAAAACAGAAAGAGCAGATAGCAAACCTGGACGGGTTTCTGCCACAACAGGACCAGCGATATCAGAAGGTTTCCCGACCCCTGCCTGGTTTATGGCTCGGACACGGAATACATAACTGACACCTTCCTTGAGGTTTTGGACCTGGAAAAAACAAGAGGAGAAGCAATATAAAATGTCATTCCATTTTAAATCACCTTTTCTCCATCCCTAGTAGTGATTCAAAGTCATTTGATTATTGATATGTCCTCTTGCTGTCTAGCAGCAGACTACTAAAGCCCCACTCCCTTCATTCTCCCCCACCTCCACCCCAACACACACTTGAGATCATAGATTTAGAGAACTGGACTTGGAGTCAGGAAAGTCGAAGTTCAAATCTGGACTTAGTGTCTAGTTGCGTGACCTTGGGCAAGTCATTTAACCCCTCTCAACCTCAGTTTCCTTATCTGTAAAATGGAGATAGTAGCACCTATCTCCTAGATTTATTGTGAAGATAAAATGAGATAATATTTGTAAAGTGTATTGCAAGCCTTAAAGTACTATATAAATACAAGCTATTATGATTGAACAAAGTCACATTGAAGAGGTTTACCTTTGTCATCTTTCCTTCGCCCCTTTTTGTCAAAAGGAATTTGGCTCCTTTGTTTACAATTCCCAGAAAAAACCTTAAAACTTTTAGATTCCTTGTACACTCACTTATCTCTCTTTGACATCTTTCCTCCCTGGCCCTGAAAAGAACCTGACTCTTGTTTGTCTCTTTTTCTGTCTTTGAAAGCCTTAGCCTTACCTTTTAAGCTTATTCAAATGCGCTTTCCTTCCTGACCCCAAAAAGAACCTGGCTTCTGTTTGTCTCTTTATCTCCATTTGAAAGCAAACTTCCCCCCCTTTCAGCTCCCTTCATTATCTATTCTCATTGTTTATTACCTTCCAAACAGACCCAACCAACCCCCCCACCCTTCCTCTGGCCACCCTTAATCCTAGCTAGGCGCCACGTGGTCCAGGACCCAGGAGTTCTGTTTGCCCCAGCTTACTAGCCACTCCCATCCAGATCTCCTTAGACCCCTCCTCCCGTCACTCTAAACTGTTTGGCCACTCCTAGACCTCTCCCCTAGGGGTCTTAAGTTTCACCCCAGACCCCATTCAGACACTGAGCTGTTCTCAAGCCTAGAGGCTGAGACCCCCATGCCCGCTTGTCCTCAGGGGCGTCAAGTGGCCAATCCACCCCAGTCCCCACTCAGACGCTGAGCTTTCTTCATGCCCAAGAGGCTGAGACTGCCTCATGCTCACCTGGCCTGACCACCTTAGCTCCCAAACCCCATTCAGACACTGAGAACCTCTCACGCCCAGAGGCTGAGATTCTCAAGATCGCTTATGAGCGTCACCTGACCACCTTAGCCCCCATTTAGATCACTGATATTTGGGTTCCTTGGGAGTCTGGCCTATATGCTTCATTTTTAACAAACTTTTTCTCTGGCTGGAAGAAGATCTGGGTTGAATTCATTCAGGCAGATCTGCACCACGATCTGGGCTTTTTTCCATGATCTTGGGGTGCCTCTGTGCATCTAGAAGCACCCAAAACCCCCCCTCCTCTTCAACATAAGTAATGTCACAGAGCTGTGATTAGCACTCAGATTCCCTGATTTCAGGACAGTGCTCTATCCATTGTACCAGGTTGCCTCTTGCTTTCTTGTTAATCAAGGAGCAGAGGCAGCAATGATGGGCAAATGTCTGCTTCCTCCTTCCTGAGTCATGAAGCCAAGGTACCATGTGGTTAGAGCGGCATTAATGCTGGGTTTTCCTCCTGCTTTTGGAATATTAAGTGATTCATTTGTGAACTATTCTCAGCCAGCAAGAGAGAATTTAAAATATAAGTATTCAATATTTCCATTGTTTTACAAATTGTTGAATTAAAAACAAATGCTTTCATATTGATCCTTCAAAACTAATACAATTTCCCCTCCTTTAACTCGCAAGGAGGATTATTCAGGCAGCAGCATGAAGAAGGGTGGATTAGAGGAGGGAAAAAGAGAGGAAGATTCATTGAACTAATCTAGGCAGAAGTTAAGAGGGGCCATGGGTGGTGGCAGTGAGAGCCAAGGCGGGGAGTGGAATTGTGAGAGAATGATGTCGAAATCAATGGGACCTGTAACTGCTTAAATATGAAAGATGAGAAGCAAAACAGTGCAAGAACGCCAAATGTTTCAACTGCACGAATAATGGTACCACAGAAATAAATTTGATGTTGGGTAGAAGGGCAGATTTTTAGAGGAAGGGAGATGATGAGCCTGGTTTGGGATATGTTAAGTTTGAGTTGACAGTGAGACATCCAGGATCTTGAATATAGAGCTGGAAACGACCTAAGAAGTCCATTCCCCTGGGTGCAATGAGGCAGTGCAATAGATAGAGTGCTGGGCCTGGAGTCAGGAAGATCTAAGTTCAAATCCAACCTCAGCCACTTACTAGCTGTGTGACCCCAGGGAAGTCACTTAACCCTGTTTACTTCAGTTTTTAATTTGTAAAATGAGCTGGAGAAAGAAATGGCAAACCACTCCAGCATCTCTGCCAAGAAAACTCCAAACCAGGGTCACAAAGAATCGGACACGACTGAAAAATCACTCAACAGCAACAAATAAAGCACTTTAAGGTTTGCAAAGTACTTTTAATATAGCATCTCATTTGGTACAAACAACAACCCTGTATTATAGGTACTGCTATTATCATTTCCATTTTACAGATGAGATAATTGAGACTGAGAGGCTAACTTACTTACCCAGGGACATACAGATAGTAAGAGGGTGAGGCTGAATTTGAATTCAAATCTTCTGACTCCAGGTCCTACACCCCCTGTTCCCAAGCTGCCTAAGAGACTGTGGTGTCTCTGACACTAAGAGAGAAGACAGAAGGGCATGAATGTATGATAAATGTTGCGGAGAGGTTGAAGACTAAAAAAGATCTTTGGAGTGGATGATTAGGTGGTCATTGGTGACGTCTAAGAAGGCAGTTTCAATAGAGCGGTGGTAGTTTCAGAAGACAGATTGCAAAGGGTGAGAGGACAATGGGTGGGTGAGAAAGTGAAAGTACTAGACACAGATAAATTGTTCGAAGAACTTAATAAAGGGGAGAAGAATTATGAGCTGTTGGGTAGGTGAGGTCAAGGTCTTTTAGACTGAGGAGACTATATCATGTTTGTGAGCAGATGTTAAGGAGCTAGAGTGAGAGACTGAAAATGCATGAGGGTTGTATAACCTATATCAAATTGCTTACTGTCTAGGGGAAAGGAGAGGTAAGGAAGAGAAAAAAATCTGGAACTCAATTTAAAAAAAATGTTAAAAATTGTCTTTACATATAACTTGGGAAAAATAAAATATCTTTTTTAAAAAAAGAGAAAAAAGAAAATGCATGAAAGAGTCAAAGGCAGCAAAGGCAAAGTCAGTTGGGGGGGGAGGGGGGATTAACCTTTGTAAAGAAAAGGCTGCCTCTTCTTTTGTGACCATAGGGGAGTGACCACAGAGAGCTGATGATGATTTTGTGACCATTGAAAGTTAATGATGATGCTTTGGATTGGAAGAGAAAATTGGACATTGTGAAGATCGGAAGAGAGAAATTCATATTAAAATAAATAAAATTGACCTTTTGGGTTAGGTGCAAAAGATTGATTCTCATGAGAATATTTTTTTCATGTCTGTAGTATTTTTTCTTATATAGTATTTTATTTTCCCCCCAATTACATGTTAAAACAATCTTTTTAACATTTTTTTTTTTAATTTTGAGTTCTAAATTCTATCCTTCCCTCTTTCCCCTCCCCTTGTAGTCTGCCATTTCAAGTGTTTCATGAGTCTCAACTGTAGTGATTCTGACTTTCTGCCCCTTTGGACTCATTCTTGGGTAACCATGACCATCTGATTTCTCTGCTCCCGTTCTTGGGTTATCAAGCATTGCTAGAGAAAGTGGATAGAGTACGGGGCCTAGAATCAAGAAGACCTGAATTCAGATCTGTCCTCAGACACTTAGCTGTGTGATTGTAGGCAAATCGTGTAAAACATTTCCATGTCAGTCATTTTATATAAGAAGCATGTCTGTAGTCCTTTAAGGCTCACAACATACTTTCTTCACAATAGCCCTAGGAGATAAGTAGTGAAATTATGCTCATCCTCCTTTAAACAGAGAAGAAAAAGGAGGCAAAGAGAAGCTGAGCAACTGAACTAATTACTTAACCAGAAGCTAAGTGACCTAACTTCCCTTTTGGAAGGCCTCAATCTTTTCAGTAAAGTAGGAGACTAGACCAGGGGTAGGGAACCAGCAGCTTAGAGGGCTGTTCTTGAGGACCTAGAGGGACACATGTGGCCTCAAGGCTGCAGGTTCCCCACCCCTGGACTAGATCATCTGTTCTACATATGAGGGTTAGGAATAGAACTTGAGAAGGAGGGGAAAGTTTAGAACAATGGCTCAGAAAATGAGTGAAAGAATTAGTAAGTGTAGAGTAGGAGTATCATCAAGCAATTGTAAGGTAAAGATTGCTAGCACCTACTATGTGCCAGGTACTGTGCTTAGTGCTTTACAATTGTTATCTCATTTCATCCTCACAACAACCCTAAGAGATAATTGCTATTATTACCCCCATTTTACAGTTGAGGAAACTGAGGCAGACAGAGGTTATGTACCTTGATGTCTGAGGCCAAATTTGAATTCAGCTCTTCTTGATTCCAGGCCCAGCACTCTATCTACTTTCTCTAGCAATGCTTGATAACCCAAGAACAGGAGCAAAGAAATCAGATGATCATGGTTACCCAAGAATTTGGCTTAAGCCAGTCCGGAGCAGCAGAAAGTCAGGGTCACTATGGTTGAGGCTCATGAAATACTTGAAATGGCAGACCACAAGGTCGAGGCTGGGTATGCAAGCAAGAGAAATCAGAGTCAGGGAGATAGACGGCAAGAGCGGTGACATGAATATTCGATGGTTCTGAGAAGGCTGGAGAGGTGGAAGAATAGGAAGTGGTGGTGGGAGAGTGAAGTTTTGAAATTCAGGATTTTAGAGATTGGTGCAGTTCAGAGAGAAGGACAAGTCTAACATAGCAGTGTGGGGTTGAAGTGGTATAGAAGAGGAGATCATCAGAGTGGTGGAGGCTGAGGAATTGGGCAGTTAAGATATTGGGGAGGTTTTCTACTGGGGTGAGTCTCCAGGGAACATGAATTATTTGCTTGGGGAGCAGTGAGTTGGCCAGTGTGGTTGGAGAAAAGGGTTTGTGTGTAGGGACATTGTAGCTGAAAAGTTTGGAGAGGTAGGTATGGAGCAAATCATGGAATACTTTGAATGCCAGGTTCAAAGTTTTGGAAAATATACTGTAGGCAATGGGGAACCATTGAAGACTTCTGAGCAGAGGGACAATCAGGATGGATTGATATCTTAGAAAAGCAATTCTAGCAGTGGCACAGAGTGAACTGGGTGTTGTGCTTGGAGTCAGGAAGACCCAGGTTCAAAACCTACCTCTAATATTTATTAGCTTTGTAACTGTGGGCAAGCCATTTAGTAATAATAAGTGGCATTTATACAGTGTTTTAAATTTTGCAAAGAAAGTTCTTTACTTACACTATCTCATTAAAACCTGTCAACAGCCCCTGACTACAGCTATAACTATTCCCACTTTATAGATGAAGAAACAGATTCAGAGAGATTAAGTGGCTTGTCCAAGGCTATAGAGCTAACAAGTGCCAGAGGTAAGCTTTGATCCCACTTCTCTCTACTCCAGGTCCACAAATCTGTCCACTATGCCAAATTGCCTCTTGGCTTCTACAAGCCTCAAGTTTCACCATCTATAAAATGGAAGTAATAATAACACGTAGGGAGCCAGGTCTTTTGTGAGGATCAAATGAGATAATTCATATAAGACGTTCTACCAACTTTAAAGCACAAAAGAAATGTGGTCTCTTGTTATTATCTCCCAAGTCACAGAAGGGTTGTGATTGATGAAATCACAAGCCTTCCTCATGTGTTTATTCCAGCTGCAATAAGTAAGGCAGATTGGAAAGGACAGAGAGAAAAGAGAAGGAATGAAACCAATTAGGAGACTATGACAGACATTATGTAATGAGAGCTTGGACTACGGTGACAGTAAAAATGGAAAAAAAGGAAGAGATGCAGAGTATGTAATGAATGAATAACTCATAAAGTTTGGGGCCTAGCTAGACATTAGAAGGAGAGAGAAGAAAGAGTCAAGGATGACTGAAATCTGGAGGTGGGGGGGGAGACAACAAAGGGAATGATAATACTATTATCTGAAATGGGTGCGTTTGTGGAAAGCTGACATCATCGTCGTCATCATCATCATCATCATCATAACCAGCATTTATATACACTTTAAGGTTTGTAGCATGATTTACAAATATTATCTTATTTGATCCTAACAACAATCCTGTAAGGTAGGTGCTATTATTATCCCCATTTTATAGTTGAAGAAACTGGGACAAACAGGGTCAAATGACTTGCCCAGGGACACACAACTAGTGTCTCTGGTTGGATTTGAACTTAGCTCTTCCTGATTTCAGGCTCAGTGCTCTATCTACTCCACTACTTGAATACCCCATTTCCATATCATAGAAATAAATAGAAAAAAAATAGAATTATTTAGAAGGAATTTGTTTTAAAGAAAAATATTCTCAAAAATGTCCATTTGCTTAAGTGAAGAGTACCATTAGCCACACACTTAAAAATTTTAAAAGTAAAATTACAATTTAAATTCTAACTTAAGATGTTCATTATGTGGTATAAACTGAATCAATTTAAAATGGGTTTTAGCCTGCCAGTGAACTTGCATTTTGGTAGCATTATATGTCAGTAAAAATGCCATGGTAATTTAATTCTCTATCTAGAAGAAATGCCAGCAAACTATAGATTTACTTTCCACAGCGCATAACAAAACAGAAAAAACCTGAAAGATTTCCTTGTTTGAGAAAAACAGACTTAAAATTACCTGACACATCTGTACCTGACACCTGAGTAATTTGTGGTTGATGCACCTCTTGGAGTCAGATTTTTACAACATGACCCATGAAGTGTATATACATATAAATATATACAGCCTTGCTTTTAGTCATGGAATAACAAACACACCTTTTTACGTTGAAGGTCAACAGAATGTCAATAACAACTCAGTTTAACAGTTCTAGAAATATTTATTTTCCCCTTTTGGATATTTCTTCTCCATAACTGTTCACAAAGCATTCACTTTTCTTCTTAAGAAACTTTTCCCCTATTAGGCAGCAGTATTTAATGACAGTATTTCTAAACCTCTGGTTGCTTGGTAAGGGCATTTGAGAAGCTTAAATGACTCTTGGTTAAATTCTGTTTGTTGAAAATAAATGGCAAAGTTAACTGGTAGCCAGCGTGCCTTAACTATTCTTAACCGACACTCTCAAAGAGATTGCTGCTATTTGTAGCTCTAGAAGTAGATTCAGGGAGACAATTATTCTCTGATAAAGCATTGGCTAGAGTTCACTATTATCAAAGCACTATCATCACTTTTCCGTATTACCACTACCAATCAATCAATCAATCAATTGATCAACAAACAAGTGTTTATAAAGCACTTTCTATGCACCAGGGACTACGTCAAATAGTTTCTTTTCCCCCAAAAAAGGGAAAAAACTAGTTCCTGCCCTCAAGGAGCTTAAATATGGACTAAAATTTAGTGATAAAATATTCACAAAATGGAATGACCCAATAAACTCAAACTCGGCAAGAAAAAAAAGGCCCTTCAATATTTAACTGACAAAGAACTAAATATTAAATGAAATGAATCAGGATTGGCCCCAGGCATAATTGTGAATCAGGCAAAGTTTGTCTTTGGGACTCTATCCATCTTTTGCCATTATCATTCTCCTTTGCCTTTTACTCTTCCTCTTTCTCCTCTCATATAAGGTTTTCAAAGCACACAGTCCCAGTATCCTCATGCTTCCTCCTTGGTACTGATGACAACCCCTCCTACACTATATTTTTCCTGGTTTTTCTTATTCACCCCCATAAACACTTACCTGTCCTGTATCCCACTCTTCAGGGCCTTGAGAGGAGGTAAATATCTAAATGGCTTTAAAGGCCAGGCAGAAGAGTTTGGATTTGACACACAAGGCAAAAGGGAATATTTACAAATTTTTCCCCCAAATACTGATGTCACAATATTCTCTCTTTGGGGAAAAGCTACGTGGTAAAACTCGAAAAGTCCTTTCTGAGAACCTCTATTAATATAAAGGGTTTGTTTGCATTTCCTTATCCTTTTAAATGAAGTTATACTTCATTTAACATTAATATCATCAGGGGGCAGCTAGGTGGCACAGTGGATAGAGTACCCACCCTGGATTCAAGAGGACCTGAATTCAAATCCTACCTCAGACATGTAACACTTACTAGCTGTATGACTCTGGGCAAGTCACTTAACCCCTATTGTCCAACCAAAAGGAAAAAAAATTAATATCATCATCAGAACTTTTAAACATTTTAGATACCCTAAAAAAGTGGTGAAAAAAGAAAAACAAAATTAAATTAAAAAGTGGTAATGCTTATACCTTCAAGTATGTGTTTGTTATTGGCTTCTCATTGATCCCTCGCCATTGATCATCTTTAGCCTTTGTTTCCTTGATGTCAACAAAGAAACCAGTGACAGGAGTTCGACCAGAATGGACTGGGTGCTTCCACTGGAGAACCAGGGACGTTTTCCTGACTTCACTATACTTTAGATCATGAGGTGGTCCTAGAGAAACCAAGAAATAAATGCTATGAGTACCGAGAAGATTAAATATGTACACAATCTTAAAACCACGTACTTAAAGCTGTAGCATTTACATATATTTCTAAGTGTATCATGCTCATATTTCTAAGTGTATCATGCTCATTTTGTCTTCCTGACAAACCTGATATGAATTGTTAAGCCTCCCTTTACTGAGGCCATGAAACTAGGGCACCAGGAAGTTGTGTCTTACTCAAGTCAACATGGTGGATCTTACTTAAGTACTGTCTCTGGGCTAATTCTTTTTTGTTTGTTTGTGTTTTTTGGTTTTGGTTTTTTTTTTTGGTGAGGCAATCAGGGTTAAGTGACTTGCCCAAGGTCACACAGCTAGTACGTCTCAAGTGTTTGGTCTGAGGTCGGATTTGAACTCAGGTCTTCCTGACTTCAAGGCCAGTGCTCTATCCACTGTGCCACCTAGCTGCCCCTCTCTGGGCTAATTTTTGGTTCCTTGGCTGGTCTATCTCTTGCCAGAAAAATCTGATTTGGTTTTACTGGCTAATCATGTCTTCAATGCTAGCTGAAACTTCCCCCAAATCTCAAATAATAAGAAAACAACTCCCTTGACTGGCCCATGAAGTGTGGTGGTTTAAAATGGGAAATGTGATTTGATAAGTATTTGTATATTTACACAATGGCAAAAACTGACCCTCAGGCTCTGTCCTAGTGAGTATAGTTCCTTCAAAAAACCACAGCAAGGCATCCTCCTCAGAAGAACATCACTAGCTGGGCATTTTCTCATCTCTCCATGACAGCTTTTTGGATCCATGTATTTAATATGCTTGTTCTGACTACATCCTAAATGGGAGATGAGAGGACCTGGATTCAAATCCTAGTTTTGCCACTTCCTATCTGTGGAAACTTGGGCAAGTTGCTTGACTTGTTTGGGCCTCAGTTTCCTCAGGTACAAATAAGAGTGCTGGATAGAATGCTAGGTCACCTTTTGATATACCTTCCAACTCTAAATCTATGATCCTGTGAATCAGGAACCCAGATGTGAATCTGGCTCTGATATTCACTAACTTTAAGACCCTAAGCAAGTCACTTAATTCAATTCCATTCAGATTCAATAACCATTTATTAAGTGCTTACCATGTGCCATGTTTCCTCACCAGTTAATATTTACCATCTACTCCAATTTTTTGTTTTAAGAAAAGTACTCTGTAAACCTTAAATCCCTGCTTTTAGTATCATTTTGACATTATTAGCAAATAATTTCTCTTGCACCAATCAAATCAACCTACCATAATGTGTATTAGCCTTGAAGAGAATTGCAAACAAAAAGTCAACCATGCTATGCCATGGTGTTTCTCAATTGTTGCCAGAGCCTTTTATGGTTTATAAAGCACATTTCTAACAACCACCTGATGAGAAAGATAGTGCCAGTATTATCATCCTGGTCTTTTCAAATGAAGAAACAGAGGGTCAGAAAAGTGATGTAATTGGCCCTGAGTTACATGGTTAATCAATGTCAGAGCCTGGACTCAGACTCATGACTTCTCACTCAAAGTCCAATAGGATTTCCACACTATGTTGTCTCCAACATTTCTCTGCTCTTAACAATTACAAACACAAATCATCCTTGCACACATACATACACACACACACACCACCACCTCATTCCTGAGGTTATTGCCTCTGTCCTCTGTCTTTATGACCAATGAAGAAACAGAAAGTTGAGTGGTAATGTGGTATTGGAGAAAAAACACCAGCTGTGGACTCAGAAGACTTGGGGTCTAGACTAGTGTCTATATCTAAGTAATTCTATGATTTTGGGTAAGTCATGTCTCTTTAAGTTTCTTAATCAATAAAATGAGAAGTTGCATTGGATGATCTCTGAGGTGTCTTCCAAAGACAAGAATCTGTTCTCTATGACTATGTCTTGTTGAACCAAGTCAAGAAAGGATAGAAGGGAGCAGGGAAATTTTCTTTCTACCTTGTGTTACAGAATTTGCCCTACTGCCTCCTTCACCTACTTTGTCTACCCTTTTGCCCATGTAAGAGTTCTAGGATTTTCCTGGTCCACCCCATTCTTTGGCTCTCTTCAGGGATTTGAAGTACTTGTGACAGACTCACTGTTGTGTAATTAGCAAACAAATTCCTAAGTTGAAGGTCATCTCTATGTACAAGAGCACCTCCCACTGAAAGTCATACCAGGAGGCAGCTTCAGAACTATCAACTGAAGATATAGAAAGGGTAACAAAAGGTGAGTATGTTCTCTTGCTTGCTGAGTGTTTATGGATGGAAGTTGGTTTCCCCTTGAGTTTCTTTTGTACCCTTTTATTTACTCTGCTTAAATTACTGATGAAACATTGAGCCAGGCTACAAGTGTACTCCTGGCTACTAGATTACATACATTTATAGAAGAACCTAATCATGTAATGAATCTTAAATATTTTTTTTTTACCTGGAACGGCAATGGTCCATTCCTCACATTTAAAGGATGCACTAGCTTTAGAGGGAGTCCCCACCCCAGCAATGTTCACTGCAGCCACTTGGAACTGATAGACCATGTTTTCTTTCAAGTTGCTTATCTGCAAGAATAAGAAAATGATAGACCTCAAGTTTTTGTGGTTTTAAAACTTCCATTTGTCTATTGTGATAATAAACTGTGTAATCCTAGGCAAATCACTTAATTTCTCTGAGCCTCAGTTCCCTCAACTGTAAAATTGGAGTAAAAAGAGTACCTATCTCACAAGGTTGTTGTGAGGATCAAATGAGATAATATGGGTAAAGTGCTTTGCCAGCTTTAAGGGCTAAAGGGTAAATATGAGTTATGATGATGACAACATCAGGCTGCTTCTTATTACTTGATTCTTACCTAAGAATAATAATAATAGTAAGAGCTAACATTTACATAGCACTTACTATGTGCCAGGCACTATGCTAAGCAATTTACCCATATCTCATCTGATCCTCATAATAACCATATAAGGTAGGTGCTATTATAAGCCCCACTTTACAGTTGAGGAAACTTAGGTAGACAGAGGTTAAGTGACTTGCCCAGGGTCACACAGATAGTAAGTGTCTGAGGTTGGGTTTGAACTCAGGTGTTCTTGACTCTAGCCCAGCATTCTATCCATAGAGTCTCCTAGGTGCCTTAAAAATGGAAAGAATGCTAAAGTCAGATACAGAAGGCCTAGGTCAGAGTGTCTAGGGTTGTTGAGAACATGAGATAATGTTTGAGAAGGCACTTTGGAAAGAAAAGTGCTATAAATATGTCAGTTATCAGAAAAGCCATGCAACATTAGTTACCTTGGACATAAAATAAATGCTTAATAAATGGTACACACTTAAGTATTTCTGATGATATTGAAGGAAATACTTAAGTTTAAAAGGTCCAGCTGCTTATGGTATGCCTGGAAGCAATAAATGCACATCTATGATTTCAGTCCTTATCAGATTCAAATACCCTGGAAAGCAGTAAGTTTATCTTGTACAGGCAGTGCTCTAGTAAGTGAGAAATAGGGGATATCGTATTCTAAATTAAATAGAGAGGATCTCAATTTTCTCATCTGTAAAATGAAGGGGCTGGACTCAGTCATCTTCAAGATATTCTTTAATGCTAATATGCTACAACATTATGATTCTCACTCTGTCTACCTACCCAAATAGACAAAAGCAAACATTCCCAGTTCATTGGATCAGAGGATCGTAGATTTAGAGCTGAAGAGGCCTTAGAAGACATCAAATTCAATCCCCTTATTTTACAAATGAGGAAACTGAGGTCCAGAGAGCTTAAGGTCACACAAGTAGTAAGCATCAGAGCCAGTATTCAAACTCAAGTCCTCTGACTCTAAATGCTGTCCTCATTTGAATAATGAGTAATATAAGAAACATTATACTGGTCAGTCATGATGGTTGAACTTTAAATATATGTGGAGAAGCACAAAGGCATAGAACTGATGAAATCCTGTGTCCTGGTATTTCCTGGTATGGAAGGATGTTACTCAACAACTTTGGTTGATTGCAGCCTTTATTCTGCAGGCCTCAAAACAGATATGGGCAGAGGGGAGGAGGGAAACCGCAAATGAAGGCAATAAATTGCTTACTTGAGACAAAATACATTCACTCAGGCTGCGAGAATGTAATACTAGAATCAAATTGCAAAAATATTTTCTAAATATCTGAAAGAAGGATCTCTCAAAAGAAAGCAATGAGAGGTAAAGGAGAGAGGAAACATTCTCCTCATCCTATAGAGACAAAGTGACCTGGTATGACATTATTCCATCTATTCATTTCCCTGCACACACAATTCACTAAGAGCCAATGACTTAAGAAGGAAGAGACAGCTAAAGTGGCTCCAGATGATGACTCAGTTTCCATAATCAGCAACTTAGCCCTCTGGGGAAGGGCACAGCCATGCTCAACTAAAAGTGGGGTTACTGGGTTGGTTGGTTTGGTTTACCTGTTTTTATTTCTTAGTGGGAGAGTTGAATGGGAAAGGGAAGAGAGATCAAGAAATGACTGTGGCATAAGAAACCAATGGATGTGACACGTACTAGCTGTGTGACCTTGGGCAAGTCACTTAACTCTGATTGCCTCATTAAAAAAAAAAGAAAGAAACCAATGGATGAATGAAACTTTAAAAAATAAATAAAATTAAGAATAGTAAGATTTCTTTCAAGGCAGGGACATACATCTTAGTCTTTCACAGAATCACAGAATTACGGGGTTGGGAAGGATCTCAGCAACCACAAAGCCTAGTCTATAGCCCAAAATCTATATCTCTAATACAAAATACTTGTCATTTAGACTGTGCTTGAAAACATCCAGAGAGAAGGAAACCATGACTTCCTAAGGCAACTCATTCTACTTTTGAATAGCACTAGTTGTTGGGAAGTTTTATCTTATATCAAGTCTAAATTTGTCTTGCAAATATTTAAAGCAGTTATTACAACTCCTGAGTCTTCTCAAGGGCTAAACTTCCTCAGTTCCTTCAACTAATCCTTACAAGGCATGGACTCAAGAACCTTCGCCATGCTAGTTTCATGCCAGTTTTCTGCCAGAGAAGAGAATCTCAAAGGAAGAGGAAGAGAAAATCTCTTCTTTCTACCCAAGAAAGTTTATAACTAGTACCCTTAGAAAACTGGGAGAGACTGGAGTTCCATGTGAGTGAGGATTCCCATTAATATTTTGAGAACCAGCAAGCAGATATTAATTTGTACCTTAAACGTATAATTCACAATGGACGGTCTAATTAATTCAGCCTTTTATGTGTAAGTGCATAAGAGGAAGTCAGAAAACAGACGTAATCCCTGAATTTCCAAGTCACTTCTATTAAATTTGGTACATTCCACACCATTCCTTCCAGTCATACTACAATACAATCCCTGGGCAATAATCCAAGGTTAGGAAATGTACTGGATCATTAGAATATTGGGTAACTCTTATGACTAACTCCAAGTAAGATAACGTGAGATTGTCCTTCTTACCTTGTATGCCTGGTCACTGACGGCCTTAATATTGGCCTCCTTCCATTTCCCAGGTACTCCACCAATAACCTCACGATAGTTCACATAATAGCCAGTGATTTCAGTTCCACCAGTCTTGTCTGGTTGCTTCCATCCAAGAACCATTGAGTCACGGAAACTCTCAAGACAAATGATGTCATAGGGTGGAGATGGAGTAGCTGTTGCAAGATGATGCCATGTAAGTAGACAGAAATCAGTTTATTGGTCTATGGATATTATATTTATTTAATTGGTGCTGTTCATAAAGACAATCAAGCTGGTAATGTGAAATGTAAAATGTGATACATTTTAAAAAATCCTTTTTGTTTGGTTTAGTTTCCAGAAATCAAGCTGACACAATAGAAAATATGCATTGTAATTAGTTCTCAAAAGAGAAAATTACTATTTTTTCCTCTTCCCTGGATAGTGAAAACAGGCTAAGAACAGTAGGGGCAAAATGACAAAGCATTCTGAAAAATTACTCAATTCTTCATCCCTAGGTTCATCATTTTTTGTCTGTTTTCATCTTTGTTAGCAACCAAACAAGAATAGGAGATAAACACCACCTTTTACCTCTAGGTGATTATTTTTGTGTTCATGTATTTCCAAATGCATATTATTTCACTGTTCCATCATACTTACCTTTATGAAAGGTAGACATCACAGCCATGGTGATCTGTCTGCAAGTAAAGGACAGCTGATACTGGAGCTTAGTTAAACACTCATCAATAATGTTTCCCCCTCTTCATGGGAAGCAACATTTATTAAACAAATATGATCACTATAATTTCTCTCTGGTATGTAGTATTTCTTATAAAGGCAGCTAGGTTGTGTAGTGGATAGAAGGCTGGACCTATAGTCAGGAAGACCTGAGTTCAAATGTGACCTTGTATACTTACTATCTGTGGGACCCTGGACAAGTCACTTAACCTCTATGTGGCTCAGTTTCCTCAATTATAAAATGGAGATAATAATAGCACCTACCTCCCAGGGTTGTTGTGAGGATCAAAATGAGTTAATAATTATAAAGTGCTTTTGCAAGCCTTAAAATGCTATATAAATACTAATTATTATTTATAGAGATAGAGATTATTTATAGAGAGATAGTCTCTCTATCATAGTGGTTAGAGATTATTTATAGAGAGATAGTCTCTCTACCATAGTGGTAGAATCATTTTCAAATGGTTCCCATGATATTATTCAGTTGCTGAACATACTTAATATTAAACCTGAGTAAAATTCAGAGGGTATTTTAAGTCCTCCCTGATTTAGAGTGCCCCTTTTCATTAACTTATCAGTCAATGAAAATGTAATTTTAAATGATGGTACTTGAGGAAAAATCATCTAGATATGAAGGAGAATTTTCTTCATATTTAAAAGGACTATGGAAAGCACCCTCCACAAAAGCCTTATTCTGAATTCTAGAAGGTTGTAGCATCACAGCCCAAGTTCCTTCAGATTCTACAAGATGGGAAAAGTTTTCAATATACATCTAACATCTACAGTCCAAAGACCAACCCATCTAAGTACACAGACGAACATCACCAGTAACATAGTGATGTTGAATTTTCTTTTTGGCTACCATAACTCATGAAATTAATAAGAGCACTGAATGATCCTCATTCCTCCATGATATGCCCCCTTCCACTTCTGCAGTGCCAATGGTAGAGTAGCAGAAAATGGGATAGAAGGTATTTAGCACTACACAGTTCATCTACTATTTATGAAGATTTATCTAACTATTGGTACGCTTAACGTGTGATCTCTGTATGGTATCCCATAAGCTGACACCCTATTGAAGCAACTGAACCAAATCTGAATAACACACTGGTACCTCCTTGAGTATTCAAAGAGCAAAGGAGAGGCCTCCATTGAGTAGAAGTGGGTGGATCCTCTATGGGGGACTTATGGAAAGACATGAACAAGAACTGCAGAAGATGAGATAGTGTGGAAGGGTTGTGACCTGCATCAGTGGAATGTGTGTCCTCATTGAAGACATCACAAATCCACCAAAATTCTACAATAAAGAAGGTGCAGGAGTGGGTCCATTTGGATAAAGCTTTTAGTAATCTGGGTAACTTTTGCCTAGCTAAACACCCCATACTATTGGAATTTCTACTTTCTCCCAAGTACTATAAACAAACCAGTAGGATAATAACCAACTATTATAGCACTGGGATTTCAATTGCTAAAAAGTAGACTATCATATAATGGGAAAATGCATAAATTAAATGGGAAAATCATCTCATGTAGCTCTTCTTTCTCAGTAGCTTTCCAGATTTTCAGCTTACTCTTCCAAGTTTAATACTGGAAAATGTCATATCACATCTTTGACATGATATAACAACATGACTGACTTTTAGCTGAAGTATGAGCATCAGTCATCAAAAGATAATACCTAGGATGACAGCAAAACTTAATCTTATGTAATTATTCCTTTGTGAAAGCTTTCTCTTATACAATTGATAGAAATGTTATATAAGAACCCTATGTGGGCCATGAATGATAGTGAAGTAATTTCCATTATGATCCCATAGAATATAAGGTTCTTGAGGGCAGAGGCTGTTTTGATTTTGCCTCTTTGTACTCTAGTGCCCAGCACAGTGATTGACAGATAGTAGATATTTAATAAATGCTTATTGAGTGACTCCTAATACAAATAAATTTACCAAGGATGTTTCAAAACCACCAAATATTGAACAAAGAATTTATGTTGACCTCATTACTCAATGACATTAAATGTTTACTGTTAATAAATGTAATGCATAATGTACAGGTGAAGGAAATGTATGAAATGACTTTTCTAGCCCATGCATAAATGTGCTCTATATGGAGACCAAAAGATAGATAACCTGGGAGAAGAAATTAAACATCAATGAAAATGACAAATGATTATGGCTTGAACAGTGAGATGAAAACACTGATAGAGACCATTGATGGATGGACGCTGGTGGAATGACTTGACTTCACAGGCTCTCACCTACGACCTTCTTCTTTTTCCCTTTTTCCAAAGTTGCAGGGGCTGCAGGGTCAGACTTACTTTCCCCCTGGTCAGCTGCTTTCTCAGTTTCTGCTGATGGCGTATGATCCTCCTGAACTGTTTCACTTACTTCTTTTACTTCTGGTTTCCCCTTAGCAACTTCCTTCTTCGATGCTGGAGCAGGTGCCTGATTATCCTGAACTTTTTCACTTACTTTACTGACTTCTGTTTTGTCCAGGCTACTAGAGCTATCGGGTGGTGTGTATTGGTTAAATTTATCACTGCTATCAAGCAAAGCAGCTTTCTTAAAGGTTGGTTGGGAGGCTTCATGCATACCTCCCTTGTAGTCGGTTAGTCCACCAGCTTTATCATTCAGTTCAGGCCACACACCTTGAGACACTCCTCCCCCTACAAGTACCAGAAAACAACAGAAAACACTTTGAACCAGAAAAGGTTATGGATCTCTCATTCTTTAACAGACAAAAAAAGAAGAACATTAACAACAGCAAGAGACAGAACAAGAGTAATCTCGCTATTACAGAAATCAGAATACATTTGGGTTGGCAAGAGATATGAATGCCATATGTCTCACACACTGTACACCAAAGAATATTCTAACATCTCTATTAACCAAGCAGATGAAGAAAAACAGAGAGAACCACAGACAGAACATGAACAATTTTGATTTTCCAAAAACCAAAGTGCTTTTTAAAATATGCGAAACATGTCTCATACGTTACACGCAAGAAAACATTGAACTTTCTCCATTATTCAACAGGATGAAGAAATGAACAGCAAGAACATAATAGACAGAACACAAGCAGAACTGTTTTATGGATGTTAGAATTCACATGTATCAACAAAGAAGAGCATTTGGGTGTACCTCCCATCCTTAATGGGATCTAAAGAATGCAGTCTTGGGAGCTCACTGAAGGTAACGGATATTAAATAGGGGATAGGCACCGAACCTGTCATTTCGCCGACATAGGGAACTCCCAGAAGAGGAAATTCTCTCTACCAATATGGCTGGCACTCCCTCTGCAACTTCGAGCCTCTGAAATTTGTCTATAGCGCTGAGACATTCAATGAATAGCCCAGGGTCACACAGCAAGTATGCTAGAACATCAGAGGCCAGAACTTTAAAAACTATACCATGCTGTCCATGATAATTAAATGATATTCCAAATATTTAATGCTTAGCTAGGTGGTATAGTGGATAGAGCACAGGAGTTAGAGTCAAAAAGACCCGTGTTTAAATCCTGACTGAGACACTTACTAGCTGTGTGGCCTTATGAGGTTAAAGGAGACAACATGTAAAGTATTTTTCAAACCTTCAAATGCTTTAGAAATGTAGCTGTTATTAATTACGTACTAACTAATATATTAATAACCAATAAGCATAAATATTTTGGTATAGCACCATAACATCTATTTTATATTCCTTTTACCTTTGTAAAAATATATAGATTGGAGGTACATTCCAGTAGGATTAGAATGAAGAAAGCATACTGTCAGTGTCAGTAAACAGGTATTTTAGTTGCTTTAGACTAGAAATACAGATGGAGATGAAACAGGAATGAGCCAGCAGCTTTATATGACATGCATGGAGTTTTAGAGGAGTTAGTAGAGATAACAGTATGTAAGATGAGTACCATGAAACAGGATGTATGATGATAGTAGTAGGATAAGGGATGGAAACAGACCAGGATCTTGTGATGATGAAGTGATTTTTTTTTAGGCAACAAGATGATGTGCATTATGGATGATATACCATGTCATGGAGTCTGACCGGATCTCCACAGTTCCCAGGATGAGCATGAAGTTAGAATGGAGTTTCACACAATGATTCATGAGAAACATCTGGGGGAAGCTTGACTTGTCAAGATGAAAAGGCTACAGGTGCACAGAAACTGGATAAGTGATGGAATGTCTGCTTAATGACAGCTATGAAGTGTTAGAAGTCACCTAGAGGAAAGGATCCTCTGAGAGATGGTACCATTAGGCTATAAAACAAGTTTTAAACATCATTTCTGGAAGGGAAAAGAACACCTTACTTTATTCATTAGAAATACTGAAATTCATTTTTTCTACTGACTTAAACATGGATAGAAGACCTACCAATAGCAGCTTTCACTTCAATTGCTTCTGAATCCTGTGAGTATTCACTAAGTCCAGCTGCATTCATAGCTCTGACTCGGAATATATAATTCTGACCATTAAGAAGTCCATGGCAGGTAAACCTAAAAGAAGAAGCAACAAAAAAGAGAGATTTTTTTCCCTTTTCCCCTAAGAAACTGATGGAGAAAAAGCTGAATTAGATGGGTTCCTAATCTAGCTTAATGCTTCTGATCTTGGGCAAAGTGCTTTTTTAAACTAAGTTATGTTTGCATTTGAGATAGGGAGAAAATGGAGGCACTAGGTGGCACAGTGAATAGAGCATTGGGTCCAGAGTCAAGAAGACCTGAGTTCAAAATCTGCCCTTAGACACTTAACTAGCCATGTGACCCTGGGCAAATCATTTAATCTCTATTTGCCTCTCTTTCCTTATTTGTAAAATGGCGATAACAATAGCCCTTAAGCTGGGGGTTGTTCTAAGGATCACAACAGTGCCTGGCACATAGTATGTATTATAGAAATGTTAGTTGTTATTATTATTATTACTATCCTGACCCATTCAAAAACAGGGAAACCAACAGAAGATATCAGCTGTTTGTTCATAACACTGAGGTATAGTATCTATTGTCACCAGGCATCTCATGTGAAGTCCAATAAACAGGGAAGTTACACTAAGACTTGAAAATATGATTTTAGAAAATGAATTCCAAAATGACAAGTTCTACTTTAAAGGAACATCTCTTGTGCTGACATTGTCTCAACTAAGGTAGAATAACCAGGGAGGCTCTACCAAGAACTGAAAATAAGATGACCAAAAAATGGATTTCAGAATTGTAACTTTGACTTCATACTATCACTTTCTGTGACATTCAGATAAAGGCGTCAGTAATGAGCTACAAAGTCCTTGGGCAGCTTCATACTTATCACATTTCCACTCCATTAGGCTAGAAATAGTTATTCTATGAATCACTATAATATTCTATCCCATCGGTAAGGGCTGTCAAAGCTGAGGAAATAACAGCTGTCTGCTAATGATCATTACTATTAAGAATATTAGAGTTGTAAAATATTTATTACAAGAACCTATAATCTAGCCCTTGAGAGGCCAATGTGTCAAAATCTGACCAGGAATAGAATGCAGCTGAAAAGGTTCTGCACAGATGCAGCGAAGTTTGGGAGAAGAGAATTAAAAAAACATAAGGAGGAAATAGTGCCTTTGATCCAGGCTAAAGTGAATTCACTGCAAAAGTGTTAGTTAACAACTCTGTCTTCTAACCCAATTTATTTCTATTCTCTAGTGCCTAGTGATCTGAAAAAAGAACTAACCTATCCATCCCTGATGGCACCTTCATTGCTCAAAGCTGGCCCTCTGAGAAGTAGACCCTCTGAGGAAATGAAACGTTTCTCAAGCCTATCTCAATGTAGCCCTGAACCTACAATTCTGTTGGTTTCCTCTGGGAAACTGAAAGCATCGTTCATTGGTAAAACAGATGCAATAATAATAGCTGATGATAGTCTATTGTAAACATTTTCTCATATGATTCTCAGAATAGTACTGTGAATAGGTCCCTCAGGTATTATCATCCTCATTCTACATATGGGTAAACTGAGGCTCAGAGCGGTTAAATGACTTGCTCTGGGTCACACAGCTAGAAAGTGTCAGAGGCAGGATTTGAACAAGCTGTCTTCTGACTACAAATTGCTGTTCTCTTTCCACTATACCAACTGCCTCTAGAAGTCATAATAATAATAATAATAATAATATAATAATAATAATAAAAATATTTACACAGCACAGCAACTAAGAAAAAGCTAAGTGATGCCATCCCAGTAGATGTTATCCCACTAGTTTTAATTACATTGATGTTTAGAATCTTAAAAATATTACTACTTTCCTTTTCTGTTCAAATTGTACATGTAATCCTGCATAATTTATGTTATTTGGCACCAAATGTTCCAAAGACATATATTGGTTATTGCATAAAGAAATAGAATTTAAGAGGCAGATTAGAAGAGAAAGAGAGACAGAGAGACAGAAAGATAATTTTGATTGAGTCGTCAGGCACCTGACATTGTGGGTAAAAAAAAAAAGCATTGTTTATAACATTTCAAGGAGCCATAGTCCATTTATAAATAATTCATGATATTTTAAATATCTTTTCTACTTCCCTTTGGATTTTTGTAAATGCCTAGTAAGTTTAACTGTTTTATTTATTTTCCCCATTTTTGCTTAGTGGTAGAACTCTACTGCATGATCACTAGCATCTGCTAGCACCCCACACCCTTTCTTCTGTTACCGTGAGCCTTTCACAGGGTTATTGTTGCAGGGTTCCCAATGATTAGATCCAACAACGCTTGACTCAATGTAGTACCCAACCAACTCTTTAGCATCTTTTGATTCTTCCCAAGTAACAACCACCGAAGTATCGGTATTCCTGCTGGGAATGATTCGGCCAGGGGCTTTGGGAATATCTGAGAAGAAGGAAAAATAGCTTATCTATTGTTTGAAATCAAGTCTATATTTCAGAAGCCAAAACAATGAAATACTTGTCTGGTGTAGTGATAGGCATCATTTTGGATTCCATTTCATGAGAAATATGTGAAAGTTATTACCTCTGGTGAATTAGAAACATTTTCTCAAATGATTCTTGAAATCAATGATCTAAACTCAAAATTTTTAAAAATGAATCTTAAAAAAAATTTATATGTAATTTGGAAATATTTAATGAAATAAATAAAAATTTTTTTTTTAAAAATCAAATGCTAGTTCAAAGTTGTCATAAAATGTATACTTGGCTATGTACTTACCAAGTTTGTCCCCAACCACAGTAACATCAGTTGCCTCTGACGGCTCACCAATTCCTGCTGAGTTAGAGCATCGAACTCGGAAACGGTAGGATTTCCCTTCAGCCAAATCAAACAGGGCAAAACGAGGAGACTTGACAGGGATCTCCGTGTTCACTCTCTGCCAGTTCTCTGTATCTGCCACACACTGCATTCAGAGAAACAAAAATCCTTCAGAAAATGGAAGATCTCAATTGAGATTTGAGGCCCAGGTTGACTGTGCCACACGGCTTTACCATGTGCTATTTATTGCTCATGTAAAATTGGAATGGGGATCTGGAAGGAGTGGATAGAATACTAGATTTGGAGTTACAAAGACCTGAGTCAGAATCCTGCTTCAGACAGTAACTGTGTTACCCCAAGAGGATTTCTTACACTCTCTAGGCCTATTTTCATCACACCTGTAAAATGAAGAGGTTGGATTTGATGAGCTCTTAGGTTCCTGATAACTCTAAACTTGTGATCCTCCGATCCTCTGAAATGTCAGAGAGAGACAGAGAGAGACACACAGAGACAGAGACAGAGAAACATAGAGAGCTGGACTGGAGGCAAACAGGGTCCTGACAGGCAGCATTCTTGACTTTGTTCCAGTAGCACAGTGCCCGTCAGTAGGTACTTAATGAATACTTTTTGACTCGACTTCTTAACTAAAAAGATCACTATTATGCCTCTGGGATTCTGTAAGTCACTTCATTACTTCATAATGTCACAATTACTGGTACTCTGTCCATTGGCATGGATCATAAGATCCTTTGTCTTTTAATGGATGGTTTTATAAGTTGCTGTGGCTGGAAAAATTTAGTACCTCAAGGCCAGACTTGTTAGAATGAGCCTATTCCACCATACTTAGCTACGCCAGCCCTTGGGTGACAATCATAAAATCCATTGCTGGGATTACAGCATCCTTAAAGCCAGAGAAATAACTAAGAATCCTAATACCTACGTGCAGCTAGGTGGCTCTGTGGATAGATTGTTGGGCCTGGAGACAGAAAGACCTGAAGTCAAATTTGGCCTCAGACACTTACTAGCTGTGTGACCCTGGGCAAGTCACTTAACCTCTGTTTGCTTCAGTTTCCTCAACTGTTAAATGGGAATAATAATAGTACCTACTTCCCAGAGTTGTGAGGCTTAAATAAGATAATAATTGTAAAGTATTTACTTAGCACGGTGCCTGGCACACAGTAAGTACTATATAAAGCTGTTATTATATATATATATAGCTGTTATTATTAACATCTGAGCCAGATTTAGAGGCAGCTAGGTGGCTCAGCAGGTAACAGCCCTACGCTTGGAGTCAGGAAGACCCGAAGTCAAATCCGGTCCTAGACACTTAGTGGCTGCGTGACCCTGAACAAGTCGCTTAACCCATTTGCCTTAATCCATTGAAAAAGGAAATGGCAAACTACTCCAGTATCTTTGCCGAGAAAATCCCACAGACAGTATTGGGCTGATATGGTCCATAGGGTCATGCAGAGATGGACACGACTGAACAACTGAACAACAACAACTGGGACAGATTCAGTTGGGGAGGCAGAGATAGCACAGAGGACAGTCAAGTTAGGGATACATTAGTGGGTGGCCCATCTCTCCCAGAATCCAAGCATGGAAGACTGTGAGGAAGGTAGAGGGATGGTGCATGGAGAGAGAACGTTCTTGGATGTTGGTGCTCTTTAAAGTAAATTAAAGTAAAGCCCTGGTCATGGCATACTTGTTACGGGTCTACTTGAAGCCTTTCTCCTTTGGTAGGACTTACCAAAGCTTGTGCTCTACTGACATACTCTTTCACAACAATTATAAAATAACCTTAGGGAAGTTCTCTATGAGTGTGTGTGTGTGTGTGTGTGTGTGTGTGTGTGTGTGTATTAGTATCTATATCCTCATGCTGAGATTTATTTTAGGGACAGGGCTGTGCTTTATACTTCCTTATATTCCCTTGGGCAACTAGGTAGTGCAATGCATAGAGCACTAGGCCTGGAATCAGGAAGACTCATGTTCATGAGTTCAGATCTGGCCTCAGGCACTTATAAGCAGTGACCCTGAGTAAGTCACTTGACTCTATTTCCCTCAGTTTCTCATCTATAAAATAAGCTGGAGAAGGAAAATGCAAGCTACTCCTGTATTTTTGCCAAGAAAACCCAAATGAGATCAAGAAGAGTCGGATACCACTGAAAAATGATTGAACAACAACAAAATATTCCCTTACTCTTTTTCTCTAATCCCCACCCCTCCCCTAGCATCTAACACAGTACTAAGTATAGATGGTTTATAATTATCTGTTGAATTGAATTGAACTGAAATGAATCATTAAGAATGTCCTACTTAAAGCAAGTTTCAATTAATGATTCTATGGAAAGATTCTTTCCTGGCTTAAGTTTCAGAATGAACGTAGGAGATTTAATGAGTGATTTTTACTTTAATCCTAGTTCACTTCATTGGACTAAAAGAATGTTGAATGACCTAGAGACTGTTGGATGAAAAGTGCTGTATAAATTAAAAGAATTGCTATTATTTATACTTTTATCAGTAATAAAAGGTACCTGAAAGGCTCAAGGATTACCCTTTCCCTCCCTCTCCCTTTTTCACTATGCCCAGGTTTTGCAAATACTAAAATTCAGTAAGATTTGGGTTTGGAATATTATAAGTAGTGTCAGTTTGATTCATAGGAAAAATGGATAACAATAAATAAGATGTGAGTTCAGAACATCCCTATACCTTGAAAACTCTGGCCCCTAGTTGATAGCTGAGGTCTAAAATTCTACACCTTAGAGTTTCTTACCTTCATTTTAAGCCTTTGATATCCCTGGGAAACACTTTATATTGTTATGAATCACTTATATCTTAGTGTGAATGGATGAGCTGAGCAAGCATAGATTATAAAAAGTATGCTGCTTCCTTGTACCTTTTGGGGATTGGGATTATAATGGGGAGGTACAGACAGAGAAGCTGAGCAAATTAAGAGAATATTGTAGGAAGCTTGGATGTTAGCATTTACATAGGACTTTTAGGTCAAAAAGTGCTTTAGATCCATTTAAAGTTTGGCAATGGAAGAACCCTGTTTTTAAGATATAAATAGCCCTTTCTGGAAAAATCTCAATTTAAATCAGTTCAAGAGTCTAGTCAAAGCATAGTAGATATGTAGTTACCGGATTTGTGATCTTCTAGTAATGGCAAAGAAACAAAAGTTATTATTCTATGTACCTATTAAAAGTTCAGGTAAATATTTGGCAGCTAGGTGGTGCAGTGGATAGAGTGCTTTGCCTGGAGTCAGGAAGACTAGAGTTCAAATCCAACCTCAAATATTTACTAATTCTGTGACCTTGGGCAAGTCACTTCTCTGCCTCAGTTTCCTTATCTATAAAATGAGCTGGAGAAGGAAATGGCAAATCACTCTAGTATCTTTGCCAAGAAAATCCCAAAGAGAGTCACGAAAAGTTGGACATGACTGAAAACCACAACGACATGTTTTGTAAGGAAGATATGCAAATATGGTCAAGCTTTGTCCTGATCCTTAAAGAAGGGTCTGTGATCAAAACACTATACAGAGAAGTGAAATATGAGAGTTCATCTAGAGGACTCTTTCTCCTTCCCCCTACCTTTTCACCTCCCATTCCTCCTAGGGAGTGAAGTCTGCAAAGGGAGTATGTGTTGGATAACCTGGAGAATGCGCAGTTTCCTTTCCATTAAAAAAAAAAGTGTAGTCTAGTGTATGACAAAAACAATTGAACTTGAAGTTAAGAGAAATATGGGTTCAAATCCCACGTCTGACACTTATTAGTTGTGGGATCCTGGGCAAGTCTCTCTGGGCTTCAGTTTCCTTATCATTTGTAAAATGGAGGTAATAATAGTACTTATTTTAGATTTGTTGTGCAAATCAGAGATAGTGTGTAAATGAAGCACTTTATAAACCTCATAGCACTATATACATGTTCTCTATTATTATTAATAATTATTATAAAATACATCCATATGCAATTCCTAAAATGCAATACAACAGTAAGTCTACATACAGTGTGTTCTAAAAGATTCACTATCATCTCTTCAGTCTTAAATGCGCCCTATCACTTGCTCACCAGAATGCAGTATGGCTACCCTGTGACCTTAAGCACCTATGCCCTATATGGATAACATCCTAGATCATCACCTCCAGGACATCTTATGTTAATCTAGTCACCAGCCAGCTAGTCTAGAGTCTTCTCCTGTGACTTGTTGCTACTGCTGTGTGCTTTATTCCAATTTTATCTGTGATACAGGAGCTGAATATTCTCTAGATGTCCCTAGATGTCTCTAGGCATTTATGAACCAAAATGTTGGGAGTGAGGGAAAGAGGGAAGGAAGAAGAACAATCTCTATCGATCAGGTACAAAAACATTTTTCTTCAGAAAAGTCAATAGATCAAGAGTGTTCGTTGGAGATGTTTTTAGACTCAGGGCTCAGGAAGATGAGCTGACATTTGGACAGTGCTAAGTAAACATACTCAAGAGCTATTCCTCTGTATTTTATCTCCCTTGATAAATTATAAGAATCCTTAAAATTAGGGATCATCTCTTCTAATTCTGTTGTATTCCCCCAAAGACTAGTGCTCTAGCCATGATGTATTCCCCACAGATGTTGGTATTATCAAGTGTCTTTTCTATCCTGATAGATAAAAGAACATTCTGATCTCCATCATGAGCTCAGCTATGCTTAGTCATAGGAAAGTTATAAAATCAGAGAGAGAAAATAGAGTAGATGTGGCCAAAGCTTATCAGAAGCCCAAGTTGAGTCATCTGAAAGAACAAACTAAGTAGCAAATTAGTAACAGATTGTTACTAGGTTGCTTTTGTAAAAAAGAAGAAATGAAATATTGCTGTGCCCATGGGTGTGTCAACAAGTATGTCAGGTGTGCCCACTGATAATTCATCTCCAAAAAATTAATATTTTGCCTCATTTTTGTTTTTATTCTAAAATAAAATGTAGTTGTTAATTTTTTTAATTGTTTAGTTTTACTGGGGTTTTTTTAGTTTAATGATTAAAAATAACATCCTTTATGATTGAATAGCCTATAAATACCTTTTTAAAAATTCTCTTGGTGTATACTCTAATGAAATATGCTTTCACGACTATTACTATGCCATTAGAAACAATAAACATATTTTTGTACACGTAGAA